AATGTCCAAGAATGAAGCCCATTGGTTTATTTTGGACTCCATAATCCCACTCGAACCCAATTAAATTTTAAGGAAATTTGCATAAATAACACCTAAACTAAGGTAAGGTGTGTACATTTACCCCCATAAATCAAATTTAGTTATTTACCTTGAAATTCTCAGGGGAGTCTGTGTGTTGTTTGCCTTGAAATTCATTAAGTTTGTGAGCAAGGAGCTACCGTTAATGGATTGCAATGCTGGAAACATGGAATTTTTCAAGATTAAGCTTGCAGCCGTGTTGTTGAGAGCTCATGCTTATGTGTAGTTTTTAACTGATATGGAATTTATATGTGTGAACTGGTTTTGAACCGTTATATGGAATTTCTTGGTTTGGACAATCTCTTATACGCGTTGATGCTTGTATATGGATTTTTTTTAGGAATTATACTCATGAAGATGATAATTGACAAAGAAATATTGTTAGAACTGCATGCCAAAATGCATTGCAACATGGGAGTTTATAAATAGAAATTACTAACTGCATCTAACAAAGGCAAACTTTTATGACATTCCCTGACGAACTAATAGTTTATAAGTACAAACTTCTGACTCCATAACCAACTCATGTGTATTAAAGTTCAAAAAGTTTATGTCAAATGGGCACAACTGTAAATTTTTTGAAGTTGGATTTTAAAAACAGAACAGCTCTCTCTCTCTCTCTCTCTCTCCTCTGCGCAATACTCAACTTCATGTGGCGATTTCGTCTCCGTCCGGCATCCGTTTCAGGCGAAATTGGTTGCAAAAATTTCGTATCGACGTACTCTATCTAACCCACCCATTTTCCCAGCTCAAAAACCCAAGGAAATTAACCTGGAACAACTAGAAGTTCGGGTGATTTTCGAAGTTTCCAACGCCATTTTTGGTGGCTCTGGCCTCCATTTTCGTCGAGTGAGGTATGAAACTTCATCTACCCTTCGTGATCTATCCATTTATATAGGTATTGTAAATCGATTTTGAGGTTTGGCCGTGATTTCACTTAGCTCCGGTCACGTTTTGGCCTTGGTCCAAGAACAAAAAGTGTTACCCTTGTTAGTCTGAACGTATTGGTATAGGTATAGAGTGTTTTGAGAATTTCTCGTCGCCAGAATTTTCTCAAGCCACCCACGCACTGCTAGCGCATGGGCCATGGTGTGGTGGCCCATTGTGTTATGATTTGATCCCCATGTCGTCCTGAGCGCGACAGTATGCTTGGATTCGAATTTGGCTATCGTATGACAGTCGAACGGATTTACCCCTATTAGGTGATATTTGGGTTCGATATGTTTGGACCGTTGGATCGGCTCCGATTCCAAGTATGTTGTTCTCTATACCTCTAGGATCATGTCACCGAGTGAGAATCGGAGTCCTGGATACTCTGAATCAATGATTTTAGGGTTAGGTAAACTGGTGACCGTCCGATCGTGCGATCGAGAGCGAACCAACCGCTCGATCGAGACCAAACCTTCAGGATGTGTTCAATGGACATGGTTGGAGCTCTAGGAACTTTCGAATTTGAAATCGGAAATCGTGAGCCCCGTGGGCCCAGTTGACCAAAATGGAAAGTTTGACCAAACCGTTGACCACGGGTCTTTTGAGACCGTCCCATTCCTTGGAAAGTACTAGAATAGCCTTTGTCTTTTCTCAAAAAAGAAAAAAGAAAAAAAGAACTGAATGTTTAGTGAATTTCGAGAGGTGATGGGTTCCAGCCCAAAAGAATTGAACAAAACTAAAGCTTAGTTATAGTGGATTTTCGGTTTTGGATATAATGCCATATATGATATTAGTTTCTTTCTCCTATTGGTATTTGTGTTTGAACAAATTTCATTTCAGTTCAGATTACTATGGGTTATATCTTTATTTTTATTTTTTATCGATGGCTGACATATTCTTTGCTGTTTTGATTGTGTTGGTTTTCTCTTACCATCCTATTACTAATTAGAAAAATGAAAATGTTTAGATTACTTTTTTTTTAAAATGGCAGATTTACACTTGAGATGACAGAATTAAAATGATGGGAGATTGTGTTGGTTGTCTCTTACAATCCCTCCCCATACTTACACCTATTTCTTATCTTTCTTTTTTTCTGGTTTTTTGGTAAGTTAACTACATTCATGAATTTTTGGTCCTTAAAATTTGTTTTGTTGGATTCTATTATTCCTCTTGTTTTATTTGGCATTTGGTTTGGCAATACATTTCTATCAAATGAAATTTCCACAAGTGAAATTTCCCATTTGGACCAAGAATTTACAGACATGTATCATTTTCATTCATTCTTGCTTGTAATTTCTAGACCTTCATTCTCATTTTCTAATCTTCTGTTTTAATGCAGGTGTGGTTGTAATTATTTTAGTACTATTTACACCCTCTTTTGGACATGAAGCATCACATCCTCTCAAACGATCATGGAACTCATCTTTTTGGATGTTTACTTTGTTTTGGACAGTCCAAGTATCAAATCTTCTCAAACTTCATAGGATTGACTTTGTGGGATTAGTTCAAGACAATATTAATGTACTACAATCATTTTGAGTAATAGAAATATAATTTAGAGTACTTTGCCTTTGTGTCTTCATTTTTGCTTATATATTAATTAATTTTTTAATAATTAAAATGATGGGATATATATACATATTAGAATTTTATTTTTTTTAAATAAAGAATTTCAACGAGTCTGAACTATGTCATGAAAAATATTTCAATGATGTCTCATCAACGTCATTAAGTTCAATGACGCCTAGTCCACGTCATGTAAAGTCCTAAAAGAAGGTGTCAAATAGAATGCCATATTCTTAACGACGCTCAATTAACATCATCAAAACTTCATCCATGACATCAAGGACGCGCCATGGAAAGAGTAGGACGACATGCGATCCTCGTCATTTAAACCTCATTCCATGATGCAGAACAGAGGTCGTGTTTTGAAAAAAGTTTCCATGACCCCCCCTTTCGACGACGCGGGTTACAACCGCTGATTTGCGTCATTAAATGCCTTACATGATGCAACCCTTATAGGGCCTACTCCGGATTGTATTTTACTAATCCAAACCGTCTATTTTGTAAATATTCATTCAAAGATCATCTCTATAAAAAATCACTTGAATTCTATATCATTTGACCATTGAATTAAATTATTGAAATTTTAGTATTTTCTTGAAATACCGTGTTTATTGATTTTATAAGACACGATTAGATGTCTAAATGGTTTCCGATTTGTCTAATTTTTTACAAAGATAATCTAATTTTTCGCAAATGTTTTGAAAGTTATGGATCAAACCGAATTTCACATAAACTTCAGAGATACAAAACGTAATCGAACAATTTTTTTAAAATCAGAGATTTACTGCTTGTTTGCTTGAATATTCAATTTAATGTGCCTTAAAAATAATTGTACTTTTCTTCGGCGAATGCACTTCTTGATATTGGAAAAAGATAATATGTCCGAAAGTCCCAGCTGCCAGGTCCTATGAAGCAAGAAGACTTGGAAGACTTCAGAATTGACGCACATTGATCACGACTATATAAGTGCACTCTTAATTTCAATTTAGGTGTTGTCTGCATGCAAGAAGTCATTATCTGAAGAGGTATGACAATTCATCCAACCTCTATATATTGACAATTCATCCAAATCAGAAGACATAAATACTTGGAATTTGGAATTGCATTAGTAACATCCTTATCATGCTCTAAATACATCAATGGAAAAAGTGGGAGAATGAACATTCAACACAGATTAATGAGGCAGATGAAGGTTCTATAATTATCATATCTATTTGTCTCTTTCTTGCCCATGCATCTATATTGATCACAAAAATAAATCAAACTTTTCACAATCACCAAAATTTAAATAATAATATTCCCTCTTGTTTTCTTTTGGTTATCGATATTCCAAACTGTTACATTCATCTTTTCGCCTTGACGTTTCATTTGATATTACTTGTCTGGAGAGGGAGCATTTTTGCTCACCACTTTAACCATAGGTGTACCCTCACCACCATCCTCAATGTTTGACATGTGTCCATAGGTATAATCATGATTCCATAAATACAAAGCAAAAGTTAATTATGATTATGTCTATGGACACGTGTCAAGCATTGAGGATGGTGGTGAGGGTACACTTATGGTTAAAGTGGTGAGCAAAAATGCACCCGTCTGGAGATGCTTGTGTAGTTGTGTGGCTATTGTTGTATCTCCAGCCTACTAAACTCGTGAAGACACCCAAAAAAAAAAGACTCAGTCAAGACACCACCTTAAAGTACCAGACGCGTTTAACCGTTCAATTATTCTTGATCCAACATTTATAAGGTTAAAATGATGTAATATCTCTTTTTTAATATTTCAGAAAGTTTTGTTGTAATATTCTAGGATCTCGAGTCTCTATATTTAGAGATCATGCATTTATCTATATTTTGAAAAAAAATTACCATCATAATAATCTTATTTGAGAGACACTCTTGTAGGGCCTACTCCGTCCGGATTGTATTTCACTAATCCAAACTGTCTATTTTGTAGATATTTATTCAAAGATCATATCTATAAAAAAATCACTTGAATTCGATATCATTTGACCACTGAATTAAATTATTAAAATTTTAATACTTTTTTAAAGTACCTTGTTCATTGATTTTGTATGACACAATTAGATATATAAATGGTTTCCAATTTGTCTAATTTTTTGCAAATGTTTTGAAGGTTATGGATCAAACCGAATTCACATAAACTTTAGGGATACAAAACGTAATCGAACAATTTGTTTAAAATCAGAGATTTACTGCTTGTTTGCTTGAATATTCAATTTAATGTGCCTTAAAAATAGTTGTACTTTTCTTCGTCGAATGTACTTTCTTGATATTGGAAAAAGATAATACGTCTGAAAAGTCCCAGCTGCCAGGGCCCAGGAATGAAGAAGAATTGGAAGACTTCGCGCATTGATCACGACTATATAAGTGCACTCTTAATTTCAATTTAGGTGAGCAAATTAGAGAGAGAGAGAGAGAGAGAGAGAGAGAGAGAGAGAGAGAGAGAGAGAGAGAGAGAGAGAGAGAGAGAGAGAGAGAGAGAGAGAGAGAGAGAGAGAGAGAGAGAGAGAGAGAGAGAGAGAGAGAGAGAGAGAGAGAGAGAGAGAGAGAGAGAGAGAGAGAGAGAGAGAGAGAGAGAGAGAGAGAGAGAGAGAGAGAGAGAGAGAGAGAGAGAGAGAGAGAGGAGATGGTGATCATTAGACATGGTGAAGATGAAGTGTATAAGGCAGCATGGTCTGGGTGTGTAGAATCCTTAAACGCATTGATAGAAAAAGACCCACGTATTCTTAGAAACCTTGCACCAGTACTGCTGACCACCAAAACTCTTACACCCTTACATATATCGGCTTCGTTAGGACACCTTGAAATTACCAAAACCCTTCTCACTTATATTCCAGAACTTGCAGAAGCGTTGAACTCCTTTAGAAGCACACCTTTGCACTTGGCTTCTGCTGAGGGGCACAAGGAGATCGTCCAGGCTTTGCTCCTTGTATATAATGGCGCGTGCTCGTGTCGTGATGAGGAGGGAAGAATCCCTCTTGACTATGCTGCCATGAGAGGACATGTTGAGGTCCTCAAGAAGTTGACACATGCAAATCATGATTCCATTTACCTTAGGGTTGATAATGGATTTGATAATGGATTAACTGTTTTGCACTTGTGTGTTAAATATAACCAGTTAGAGTGCTTGAAATTTCTGGTTGAACTGGTGAGAGACGATGGTGAGTTCCTCAACTCAAAAGATGGCTCTGATGCTGGTATGACCATCCTGCAGTCAGCTTTGATGCGAGGGCAAATTCAGGTATGAATATATTTATCTGTATGTGTGTACATAGTTGTCTATGTGTGTTATTTTTCACTTACGATTACAGTTTTCCTTTTATGACATGTTTACTTACAGAAAATGAGTTGAGATAGTCTTTGGTGATATCTTGTATTGTAAAAGTTTTATGATTTTTCTTTCTTTTCAACTTCATTATGGTTTTCTGGAAAGTTTTATTTTTATATTATAAATTTTTTACATCCTGATGATGTTAATTTCACTCTTGAAATCTTAAGTAGTTATCTACCTTGTGACAAAGGAAATCAGAAACCTTAAACCCAGAAATTAAGAACAGAACAGAGGTCTTGAGCAGAAGAATTTAAAAAAAAGAGGAAGAAAGCAGTCTAATCTGTAGAGTGAAAGAGTAACGTTTAGAGACGGGGTGGGTGGGATTAGACCTTAATTATTTTTCGATATAATTGAACTTTCGATATAATTGACTTTTAAGATGTGTGTCAAATTATGTGGTTTTTTGGATCCTGACCCATAAATATGTTAATGTGCACACAATATCTATTTGTTGTATGGTAAAAGAGCATACGTTATTGGGATGTCTTCACCAAATTAACACAGAAGTGTACATGCTTGTGCAGATCACTACTTACCTGCTCTCCTTGCCTGTTATAAGAGCAAAAGCGAATGCTGATAAGGGGATGTCTTCGAACATGTTAGGTGTCTTAGAGCACGTCCCTCCTCCAGCTGCTGCTGAACCATCACCAAATCCAAGTGTTCGACCCCCTCAGAGGTGGAGGAAGAAATTGATGGAATGCTTGAAATATCCCAACAAATGGTTGGAAGAGACGCGTGGCCTTCTGATGGTTGTGTCAACCATGATCTCAACCATGACTTTCCAAGCTGTAGTTAACCCACCAGGTGGTGTTTGGCAAGAAAATAACACGAACACTACAGATGGATCCGACAACCCAGTTTGCACCGAAGAATCTTTATGTGTAGCTGGAACTGCGGTGTTAGGCGACGTCTTTAAAGATTACTTCCTCGGCTTCATAAAGTTCAATACCATCTCGTTCCTTGGTTCTCTGAGCGTCACCCTCTTGCTAGTTAGCGGAATTCCTCTCCATCATCGGATATCTATGTGGCTCTTGTCAATGGCCATGTGCGTCACCCTCACATTCATGGCGCTTACCTACCTACAGGTTCTGTTGATGGTGGTCCCTTACGGCGACGTTTTCATATCATCTTATAAAATATACAAAATATGCTTTAAGGTTTGGATTGGGTTGCTGGTGATGGTCAGTGTGATGAACACTATTCGCTTTCTCATCTGGGTGGTGAAGAAGTTGCGGCCCGTCTACTCTAGGTCAAAATCAGGTCTCCAGAAAATTATCAGTGGTCGCTTCTTTTCACGTAAGGCTGCAATAAATTATGAGGAGAATGCGGCTGCAGGTGCCTAAGAGGACCAATTAATCAGTATTTGTATTATCCGCACCTATTAGCTTGTGTGATTAATTCATGTTTGTATAATGTCTAAGAGGAATAGACTGTTGTTTAAGATAATCCATCTACAATGTACTGTGAAATTTATGTGGTTATAAAATATGTGCAATTTTAAGACTACTTACATAAATAAAGTTCTTGTGCTGCCAACTAGAGGATGAATCAGGTGTAGGTCTGAGCAAGGACTTCATGCAACTAAAAACAACGGGCAAATTGATTTGACTGGTTTTTTTCTTTTTTTTAAGTTTTGGAATGTTTTAAATTCCTTTTTCTTCTTTTAAAAAATGTTATTAAAAAAAAACTTGTTCAACCGTTGGGGGGTCATAACATTTGGAAAGTTCAAGAACATTTTCAAACATAGCCGTTGGGGTTTTTTTTTTCGTTTTTTTATAAAAAAAACGTAAAATATGTTTATAAATATCTTCAAATTTCTTCCAAAAAAAAAAATTCACACTCATTTCAACTCTCATTTCTTACAAATTTGGTCACTTTCTCTACTTATTCACAACTTTCCATAGTCAATTATCTAAAGAACCTAAATAGTAGTTTAATTAATTTAAACAATATATAGTAGTTGCATGTATGAATGTTTGTACCATAATTTGTCCAAAATAATAAAATATGTAGGACCTTAAAACAGTGATGGAGCCACCATAGGGTCAATGGGGTCAGACGACCCCATGGCAGCCCTGAGTTTAGCTTGGAGGTCACTGGTTTTCCCTTGCAGCCATGGGAGAAGACGAAGTTGGAAGCTGCGCAGAAGTTTTTGTGTTTTAATTTTTTTTTAAAGCTTAGGAAAAACGACGTCGTTTTGTCTTAGGCATTTTTTTAAAATGACTTGGCCAAAACGACTCCGTTTTGGGCTAGGACTTTAAAAAAAAAGAAGAAAAAAAAAGGGCGCTACAGCATATTGAAACACAACCACCCGATTGCACACCTCCAAAACCCCAATTCTAATATTTCCTCAACAACCCTAACCCCTGAAATGTTCATTCTTTGATAAAAAAGGATTTAAAAAAACCCTAACCCCTACCCAAAACCGCCGCTATTCTTTCTTTTATCAACATGTATTTCTTGTTCTTCCTCAATACTTTCTCTAACTCTTTTTTTGTTTTCTTGCATTATCTTTTGTCTCCGAATTCGAGGATGGGAGTCTTCCAGATTAGATCTAGGTTTATTAGTCTTCCCTTATGTACTTTGTTTGGGGCAAAATTAAAAGTTAACCCCAATACTTGTGTAAATTATGTTTAATCATCAATAAAATTTGATGTTTATTAATTTTTTTCGTATAACTCAATTGGAGTCTTTTACATTCTGCTATTGAATATTGAAAAAAAAAAATTATTTAGTTTTAATATACATATATTATATCAATTATGGGGCGGTTTAAAATTTAGGATGGAAATTCTTCACATATTGGTTTAAATTTGTAGGGGCGGATGAAGATGCAATCTACAGCTATTATTATTTATTACAAAAATGATAAATGGGGTGAAAAGAAGTGATCCTAATACTATAGGCTCATTTGGTACGTCGGAATGTACTGATTAATTTATGTCGGATACTATTAATTTGTTTCGGAGAGTAATGACTGTTTATCTATAATATTATAAGGTGTTTGGTTCTTTTCCGGATAAATAGTCTCATTAAGTTAATAGTATATTTGGTGCTCCATCGGATAACAGTTGATCGGACTCTATGAGCTTGAAAGATCATAAATCATATATCATTTGATTTCTTTAACACCATTATTTCATCCACAATTATAATATCTCCACTCAATATTTCATCCACACTCAATCACTTGAAAAATCATAAAGGAGAGAATAATGCTGTGATTAAAGGAAAATAATGACAAAGGGAGAGTAGGTGAGGAAATAGACAAAGAGAGAGAAAAGGATGAATATTGGATAGGTAGGGTAGCAGATGTTGATTCTCAACACAAAGCAAAACCACACAGAAGAGAGAGCATAGTACTAAGTGGTGAGAAAAGAAATCATAAAAAAGAATAGTACTAAGAAAATGCAATTTTGGGTGGCAGGCAAAACACCCATCACGTGGGCAACAGAGGAAATAATGGAGGGAGGAAGGCAACAGGTGATAAAAAAAGCAAACAAAAAGAAAGGTAACCCACCAAAAAACAAAACGGGAGTGAAATCCGATTAAAAATAATCCACCCTTCTTTGTTGAAATTAGCCTATCACAACCGTAAGACTTCATTTCTAAAGGCACCCACACACATCAAACATCATGTTTTTCTATTACCCACTCATGTAAGTTGTAACTTTATATTTGAACTTGAGTGCTTAGAAGTAGTAGGTCTCCTCCTCTTTAAAATTGTATCAATCTATATCCAATGGGTTATTTAATATTATTAAGTTTCTCTCTTACTTTTTGTTTAATTTTCAATTTCAATTGTTATTGTTAGCCTTTTATGATTTAGAGTTTGGGTGTTAAATTTTGGGGATTTTTTTCTTATGCAATTTGCTAGGATTTTATTGATGACTTGTCATTTTTCTGATTTAATATATTCATTACTTGATCTCTGCTTTATATAGTCTAGTTGTCTCTTGGTTTTGTTGAATGCTTGTAGCTTGTGATTGTGCAATCGTATATCTATATGACTGCACTCCCTACGTCTATGTGTACTCCCATAAAATTTTAAAATTGTTAATTGAAGAATAGTTGCTACCACTCATTTTCTTTGCATACAAAAAAAAAAAAAAAACCCTATAGCCTATAGCCAATTAACCATGTAAACCCCTCATCAAAAAAACCATGTAAACCTGTTTTTAAAAAGAACAAAAAAGGTAATATAATGGATCTCCCATTAAAAAAATACTGGTACACTCTTATAAAATTTCATGGGTCCGCCCTTGGGTAAAAGGGAAGGAGAAAGAAAAATAAATAATAAACACCCAGTGGGAAAGACCAGAGAGAGAGAGAGAGAGAGAATGGAGATCATTAGACATGGTGAAGATGAAGTGTATGAGGCAGCATGTTCTGGGTGTGTAGAATCCTTAAACGCATTGATCGAAAAAGACCCACATATTCTTATAAAGCTTGCACTAACCACCGAAACTGAAACACCCTTACATATATCGGCTTTGCTTGGCCACCTTGAGTTTACCAAAACCCTTCTCACTCGTATTCCAAAACTTGCAAAAGCGTTGAACTCCTTTAGACGCACACCTTTGCACTTGGCTTCTGCTGGGGGGCACAAGGAGATCGTCCAGGCTTTGCTCTCTGCATATCCTGAGGCGTGCTTGTGTCGTGATGAGAAGGGAAGAATCCCTCTTCACTATGCTGCCATGAGAGGAGAAGTTGAGGTCCTCAAGGAGTTGACACGTGCAAATCATGATTCCGTTTACCTTACGGTTGATAATGGATTAAAAGAAACTGTTTTGCACTTGTGTGTTAAACATAACCAGTTAGAGTGCTTGAAATTTCTGGTTCAACTGGTGAGAGACGAAGGTGAGTTCCTCAACTCAAAGGCTGGCTCTGATGCTGGTATGACCATCCTGCAGTTAGCTTGGATGCGAGGGCAAATTCAGGTATGAATATATATATAAGGCTTTTTATCACAAAACGTCCCTGATGTTTGCGAAACTATCAGATTGCATCCTTAAATTTTTTTTGTATCACTCATGGTCGCTAACGTTAATATAGGTGCTCTTAAATAGTCCCTCTGTCAAAAAAACTGTTAAATCCAGGGATAAAATCGTCAAATCAATCCAAAATTATAATATATATATATATATATTTTATTTTTTAAAATATTTTATTTCCTTCCCTTCTCTCTTTCTTTTCTTCTTCTTCTTTCTCTCTGCCAGATTCCTTATCTCTTCTCTCTCTGTTTCAGTCCATCGTTAAGCTCGAATGGACCTTTTCTGGGTCGGTGGTGAGACTGCAATTAAAGTTCATATCAAATATCAAACACCGATTGGTTGCTAAGAAACTGAATGGAAAAACTATATAAAAACTCAAGCTTGTCAAGTTTCTTTCATTGCTGGTTTCCCAGTGAACGAAAAGAAACAAAATTCCAAACTCTAAATTTTGTTGGCATCAAAGAGGTAACAAAAAGTAGCAAAATTCGAAGCAAACCTCGTGCATATGCCATAAAGAAGCGTGCCAGAGAGCTTTATGAGCCCATCTTGCCCAAAACTTCATTCCCACCTAAAATATACATATATAAAATCCAAATCGATTTAGCAATTTTCAGTGTAAAGAAAAAAAACTTCAAAATCAATTCAATTTAATTAAGTTTCCCCAATTGAGAAGCAGTTAGTGGACTTACAGCAGCACCAACAGATAGAGCAAATGTACCCAACATTTCAGACAAAAGCACATTCCCACCCTACGCAGAAAAAGAAATCACCCAATTCAAAAACTCAACTAGAGAAGATAAAGTTCGTAACTTTTGTGGTTTAGGGAGCAGAGAGAAATTTGGCTGTGTTTGCTATAAGGAATCTGGCGGAGAGAAAGAAGAAGAAGAAGAAGAAAAGAAAGAGAGAAAGAAGAAGGAGAAAGAAAGAGAGAAGGGAAGGAAATTAAAAAAAAAAATAATTATAATTTTGAATTGATTTGACGATTATACCCTTGAATGTAACAATTTTTTTGACGGATGGACTATTTAAGAGCACCTATATTAACGTTAGGGACCATGAGTGATACAAAAAAACTTTAAGGATGCAATCTGATAGTTTCGCAAACATCAAGGACGTTTTGTGATAAAAAAGCCTATATATAAAGACAAAACAAGTTTCACCTAAGTTAAAGTAGAAGTTAATTCAAAAGTTATTTTGTCCTCTTTTGTATGCCAAGTCTTTAAGTAGAAGCCCTGAGTCATTTGTATCTTCAAGCTTGATTTAGTAAGCGTTGTATTTTCATCAGTTTCATAGTTCTCTCAGAGTGTTGAGCAAGGAACTAGGAAATCTGTAAGTCTTTACTTTGCTTTTCAAGCTTCACTAGTTAAAGAGTTAAATAAAGTTATCATATTTTGAGTTAAATTATTTTGAGTTGACAAAGTCCTTCACATTCTAATTTGTTAACCCTATTTTCCCTAAGCATTATTTTAAGTTAAATTATTTTGAATTATCTAAATGTTATATAACAAGCATTATTTTAACACAGAAAGTGTACATGCTTTTGCAGACCGTACGTTACCTGCTCTCCTTCGTTGTTATAAGAGCAGAAGCGACTGCTGTTAATGGGATGTCTTCGATCATGTCAGATGTCTTAGAAATTAATAATGAAAATGATCGCGTCCCTCCTCCTCCTCCTCCAGCTGCTGCTGAACCATCACCAAATCGAAGTGCAAAGAAGAAAAAAGGAGCAAAGGGGTGGAAGAAGAAATTGACTAAATGCTTTAAATATCCCAAACAATGGTTGGAAGACTCGCGTGCCATGCTGATGGTTGTGGCAACCGTGATCTCAACCATGACTTTCCAAGCTGTAATTAGCCCACCAGGTGGTGTTTGGCAAGAAAATAACACAAACTCTTCCTATTGCCACGAAAATGAATGTATAGCTGGAACTGCAGTGTTAGGCTACGCCAATCCAGATTACTTCCTTCTCTTCATAAAGTTCAACACCATCTCGTTCCTTGCTTCGGTGAGCGTCACCCTTTTGCTAGTTAGTGGATATGCTTTCCATAATCGGATAGGTAAGTGGCTCTTGTCAATGGCCATGTGCGTCACCCTCACATTCATGGCGCTTGCCTACCTACGGGTTCTGTATTTGGTGGTCCCAGAAGCCAATCGCGATTCAGTTATATCAATAAGCCATGCATGCTTTTATCTTTGGATTGTGTTGCTGGTGATCTTCAGTAGTGTGATGAACACTATTCGCTTTCTCATCTGGATGGTGAAGAAGTTGCGGACCGCCTACGTTAGGTCAAAATCATGTCTCCAGAAAATCATCCGTAGTCGCTCCTTTTCACGTAATGCTTCAATAGATTCCGAGGAGAATGCGGCTGCAGGTGTTTAAGAGGACCAATTAATCAGTATTTGTATTATCGCACCTATTAGCTTGTGTGATTTCATGTGTTGGAGGAATAGACTGTTGTTTTAGATAATCCACCTACTAATGTTTGTATATGTAGTGTGAAAATTATGTGCAATTTTAAGACCCAGTTTGTTATATAATTTAACACTACTTACATAAATAAAGTTCTTGTGCTGCCAACTAGAGGACGAATCAGGTGTAGGTCTGAGCAAGGAAGGACTTCATGCAACTGAATTCACACTCATTTCATCTCTCATTTGGAAAAATGTTATTAAAAAAAACTTGTTCTAATCGTTGGGGGGTCATAACATTTGGAACATTTTCAAACATAGCCGTTGGGCTTAATAAAAAAAACCTAAAATATGTTTATAAATATTTTCAAATTTCTTAAAATAAAAAAAAATTCACGCTCATTTCATCTCTCATTTCTTACAAATTTTCTTATCTCTATGATTCCTTAAGTTTTGCTGCAATCATTCGGTTAGAGAAGGACATTCCTCAACCATAATTCATTCAATTACTTTACATTTTCCATAACAATGTCACTATTTGCTTTATATGTTTAAAGAAAGACAAAAAGAAAGAAACCATAATATCATTCGATCCATTATTACGAAGTAGATAGTAGAAAGAAGACCAAGACCAAGACCAAAACCTGGGTCTGCAGTCAACATATATTTAACGTTTTTTTTTTTCCTAACTTATATTGTTTAGTTTTTTCTACATTCACACTTGACCAGCATGTGCTCTCAGATTAACATTTATGAGTCCACAATGTGATGCTTAAATTAGACTGGACCACATTATCTTTAGACTCGTTTTTAACGAGTGATGAAAGTGTGAATGCATTTTCCATTTTATCACCCAATTTTTCAAAAAATTTTTGATGAAAATTTAATAAAATATAAGTTGTATTTAATAAAACAGTCCCGCTCACTTAAAGACCTAAAAATAAGGTCAAGTGAGGTCCTATTTAATAAAGGCCATTGGATTAAAGACCAGTTTGGAATTGTTGTTACTTTTCAAAAAAGTTGCTTATATTGTGCTTTGAAAATAATTAGTTGTAAAGTAAAACAACTCCATGTTTGGTAAACAATATTTTTAAAATGTTGTTAATACAAAAAACAATGTTAAAACCGTTTGATAAATTTTAATATAAAACTGTTATAACTGTGAATAATGACTAAAATATATAGATAGTTTTGCCAACCAATCCGCAAAAAGCACTCTAATGATAGACTAAATATATCAACTTTTATATATGAATATTTTAATCATCCACGAATAGACTGTTTTGCCCACCAATCCGTTTTCTTTTTCTTGGCATTGTGCAAGACCAAAGACCTTGAGGGGTCAAAAGTCCTCAGCAGGGTTTCCAATAATTTCGTGACATTTCAATTTCAATGTCCACTTAAATTATTAAAGATTTTTTTTTAAAAAAATAGTATGACCCGATGTTATCTAGAACAGCGCTAAACACAGTATAACTTAGTCATACTATTTATCCGAAATAGTACCAAATGTCTTATAATATTACGGATAAAACAATCAGTACTCTCCAAAACAGATTAATATTATCCGACAACAATTAATCAATATAGTTCGACGTACCAAACTGTTGGCGTTGCAAATCTCATGGCCAGACGCTCCAGGTTGAGGGGATTTACGTCAACACGGGTCGTCCTTCTTCGGTGCATTGCGGTTGTGCGTGGGCGTGCCAGCACGATCTACCGTGCATTCGAGGATGATGTGAGTGGATGAATGGATGAGTTGTGCACCTATTGAAGTCTGACTTCTATTCAGAGCGATTGTGGTCGAGAGAGGAACTGATCTCAGCCGTCAGGTTCACGGCCTGAGCTACAAGGCCGTTAATTATGGTGTTAATTGTGGATTTTTAGGCGATGCTCCGGCGCGTTGCTGGATTGCAACGGTCGTATGATATGTGGGATGAATGGAAAAGTAACAAAGATGATGCTCCAGCGTCTTGAGAAATCAAGGGTCGTATGATATATTGATGAACAAATTTTCCTACAATCTACCATTACTCTTAGGAAAGCAAGTAAAGGTATTGAAAGTGCATTATAGGAAGATAAATGATAGAAGATAAATGACAGGAAAATATAATTTGCTCCGTTGGAGGCTTGTGTTTGGTGTTGAACCCTTTGAATGTAGTTGGAGCTTGGTATTTATAGTAGAGACTTTGGGAGGAAAGTGAGACTGACATTTGCATGACGTGGTTGATCAGAAATAGTGGGTAATCTGTGCAACATTTGGGAACGTGAAGTATGGTGGTGTGACTCTCATAAATCTCGGCTGTTGCCCTAATCGTCGACTCTGCGTCTCAGGCCTTGGAGGAGCATTTAAGGTTCTGGTCTGATGGTTGGTGACTTAGTCTTACAAGTCACAAGATTTCGCTCATAATCATCCTGATTTTACTCATTATATATTGACTTCAATCACTTCCCCTCTTCCCTTAAGCATTAAATGCTTTTGCGTGGATCGTGGGCCCTCTGCTGCAGTCAAGGGCATTACCTTATTAAATGAAGCGTGGGACCTCAATGACCCATGGCAACGCCCCTTGGTTTTTCCACTTTGGCCATGTACTTGAAGGATTACTATTTTTTTTCGTTCAAGCTCATCGTGGCCGTGATGATTTCGCCTCCACAGATCTCCCTTATTTTACGAGAAAAAACGAATGACAACTTTTTGAACGGGCGCCTTGTCCGAGAGGTTGTTCCTTCGATCAGCCTTACAGGCCGAAATTTTTAGGCACAAACACAAACCAGTCCTTACATGGCTCAACAATAAAACTCTCATTATTGTTTCCTACCCACCCGTGTAGACCAAAGGAAAAAGGGGAATGCTAGCAACATTCTCTCTAACCTTCTCCTTTGGACCTTCTCCTTTTCCCTCATGACATGTGTCATTTTTTTTGCACTTAAAATAATACCACTAATACATCAAACAACCTACTTTTTGTTTTCCATATTTACCCTATTTTATGTATTGACTTTACATTAATGTTTACTTCAATCCATTCAAATTTTTTTTACAACTTTTTCTCTCTTTGAATAATCAGACTTGCAGCCCCAAACCCAACCCTTCCTCTTATCATTTTGAGAGAGCCAGACCTTCACACCCGAAACAACATGACATGAGGGTGTTCTTATCATTTTGGATTGGGCTGTTGTTGTTGGTGCTTGGTGATGGTTCTCAAACCCAAATTTAGTATAATGGCCAATGCTTGCCATGGCCTTGAGGGTGTTCTTACCGTAGCCAAAACTTGCAGGGGCTTGGTTTTGTTTGAAGAGAGATTGGGGAAGAGAGAAAAAGAGGGAGAGAGAAGGAAGAGAATATGGGGAGGTGGTGAGGAGAGGGTGGGGTGGAGATGGGTGGGGAAGATGGAGGTGCTGGGCTTTGGGGAAGAAGATGTGGACGACTTGAGATAGGTTTTTCATTTTTATTTTTTTAATATTTGATAAATTAATATAATAATTTTTTACAAAGTATTAAGAAAGCTGTTAAAAAATAATAATAAATTAAAGTAAAGTCAATACATCAAATAAGGATAAATATGGAAAACAAAAAGTAGGTTGTTTGGTGTATTAGTGGCATTGTTTTAAGTGTAAAGAAAATGACACATGTCATTAGAGAAAGTGAGAAGGTCCAAAGGAGAAGGTTAGAGAGAAGATTACTAGCATTCCCCAATGAAAAAAGCCATACGCACATAATGCTGCCAATCAACTTTACTTTCCCACTTTGTCAATGCTGCAGGGATTACACGTCCCATTGTCGGATACTATTCTGTGCTGGAGACTAATCTGTCGTACTCATCAAATGTGATGAATGATTTTTGTTTGTCAAAAGTTAGAAAGGACAAAGGGCATTTACTTCAGCAGCGGGTCACACTTTGCCTCGAAGTTGCTGTAACTCTCCCCAAACTTCAGCATTTCATATAAAAGAAAATATTGAAAAATCTGTATTGTGGACCCCCAAATATTGAAAATTATAAATTAATTTATATTTTCCTACCATGCGTAGCTAATGAAGTTTAAGTGGCAAGTTTTTTTAGGCGGCGAATTAGTTAGTTACCCAACTATATATAATGAATATATCAAACGATCAAATATTATTGAATATTAAATAAGTAGAAACAAGACCAAGACCAAGACCTGGGTCTGCAGTCAACAACAATGTGACACAGTATCAGCTGTTTAAATTAGACTGGACCACATTATCTTTAGACTCATTTTCAATTAGTGATGAAAGTGTGAATGCATTTTTCATTTTATCACCCAATTTTTCAAAAGAATTTAGATGAAAATTTAATAAATACAAATCATATTTAATAAAACAGTCCCGCTCATTTAAGGATCTAAAAATAAGGTCCTGTGTGGTCCTATTTAATAAAGGCCATTGGATTAAGGGCCAGTTTGGAATTGCTGTTACTTTAAAAAAAAAAAAAAGTTGTTTCTGCTGTGCTTTAATTGCAAGCTGCAGAAACCTCATGAATATGTTGAATATCTGTGATGTCAATCATATTTACAGAGAGAAGAATCGCTTAGCGGACTGCCTGGCCACTTGGAGCTATAATATTGATCTGGGATTATGCGTTTTTGATACTGTGCCTCCTTGGGCTGCTACAATCCTAGTGGAGGATATTGTAGGGGTTGCCCAACCCCGCTTAGTTTGTTTGTAGTCCTTTTTGTTAGGGGCGCTGCCCTCATCCTTTTACCAAAAAAAAAATAATTAGCTGTAAAGTAAAACAACTCCATGTTTGGTAAACAATATTTTTAAAGTGTTGTTAGTACAAAAAGCAATGTCAAAACCGTTTGATAAATTTTAATATAAAACTGTTGTAACTGTAAATAATGACTAAAATATATAGATAGTTTTGCCAAACAATCCGCGAAAACCACTCCAATATAGACTTCAATTTTTTATATATGAATATTTTAAACATCCGCGAATAGACTGTTTTTCCAACCAATCTGTTTTCTTTTTCTTAGCATTGTGCAAGACCAAAGACCTTAGCCCTTCGTTTGGATGAGGAAAAATAACTCAAAATTTAACTAAACGTCATGAATTTAAGAGGAGAAATTGACAATTCCCTTGTTTGGCAACTTAAGCGTGAAATTTATTAAATGACGCGCGGAAAAAATCGTGGGAATTGGGGCATCAAATATCCTAGTTTAATTTCTACCAAAATAAGCATCATTTCACAATTTTCATGGTGCCGTTTACAAAATTTCGTTATTTACAAAATTCGACATACATAAATCCAAATACTGAAATCTTCAATTACTAGAAATTGAAATGTTGGAAATCTAAATTCCGTCATTTTAGAATTCTTTGTAAATTTCAATTACTTCATCCAAACGGAGGGTGAGGTTTCCAATAATTTGTTATGTCTTACAAATAAAAAATTAATGCACAACATTATTATGATAATTGAAAAGAGATAGTGAAGGGTGTTTACGTGTACCATGGACAGTGAACACAATAAATTGACAATAAAATATTTAACTTGATCCACTCTGCTCTCTACCAAAATATAGGGAATGAATCAGATTTAAGTATTTAACCTTGTTTTTTTTCTTGGCCAAAATGAAGCATAAAAATCAAAGTAGGAGCTACTGATTACCATATTAACCAATCTAACAAGATATTTAAAACAAACTAATTATCCAGATTCCAGACGGTTTAGATCATTCAAATACAATGTGTGGTGGACCCTACAAAGATATCCCTTAATTAAGTATTTGAGGGATACTCATCTAAAGCACTCTCTCTCTCTCTCTCTCTCTCTCTCTCTCTCTCTCTCTCTCTCTCTATATATATATATATATATATATATACTCCCTTATGTTCTTTTCTTGCCCTTTGGATTTCCTGACAAAAAGGGGGAGAGATGATTGTGTGAAATTATATTGTAAAGGGAGAGAGATTGTGTTGTAGAATTAAGGGGGAGTGATGTTGTAATTTTGCTTTGAATTATATTTCTTCTCCCACATGCTTCACTAGTTTTGTTGTTTCATAATTTGCAGGGATTCCGAGCTTCGAGTTTAGAGTAAGATTTCATTTGTTATATCCCGTGCAATTTCTTTTGAGTTGTAATAGGTGTTTTGTCTAGAAAATGCCAAAGGGAGAGATTGTTAGTATGAAAATTGTACTGGCATTTCCTAGACTCTAGCATAAGTCGGGAATTAGTGTGTAAATATCTTTTACTGAAAGTGTTGGCGCAACACATTCAATCTTGAATTTTCGAAGTATGACTTGATCGATATGAGGAACTTGATTTCAAGTAAATCATGACATAATCATGCATTCATTATAGGATTCCTAGTTTGAGTTATTTTCACTCAAGTGCTTTTATATTATTAGTCCTATTTTTAATAGGATTAGATTTTATCTCTTGAGATTATTTTCCTAGTTTGACTTTATTTTGGTTTAAGTAAAAATATCCTTTTTCATATTTGACTGGGAGAACATGTTTCTTTTAATATCCAAATTGGTTTCATTGATTAACATGGTTTCCTTGTATAAACTAATGGGATTGGAAGTTTGCATGGGCTGACGAAATTGAATTGGATTTTTTAGAGAATCAAATATGATATGGATCTCTTGGCTTTATGTAGTTTCTCTTGCAAAAAGAACAACATGTCTGTATAAAGACATGGCGTGACTCTTCTTGGTTTTTAGACAGCTTTGATATATTTAAACCGGACATATCATCCTTTCCAATGAAGTTGCATTGGTCCAAACCATCATGTCGACATTGCGAAGAGATGGGCAAGCCATGCAGATCAAAGATTAGTGAATATAGTCTTGCACATGTTCAGACTGCAGAAAGCGAATGTTTAGATTTCCCTGAAGGTGTCATTTAATTAAACTTGGCTTTGTTGCAGTACTTTGCAAGCAAATATTATTTATTTTCAGTCATTCAAATTCGATCTGATTAGTCAGGACTCAGAATTTTATCGATTTCATAGCAAAAGTACTTATTAGCTTAAATAACAACTTTTAAAGATATCAGGTGAGTTGTCCATAAATTAAAGCACTTGCATTGCAGGACTATAAATCTGAATCACATGTAATTAGGTTAATTTTTGTCATCTCTATCTGCAGTTTGCACAGTTTCTGTGGCTCTTATAGCAGTGGGGGCTCTCATCATCTACCATGCCTATAGCTCCAACAAAACAGAGAAAACAAATCAGTTGAGAATTGAAAGATTTTTGGAAGATTACATAGGTCAGAAGCCAAGCAGATATTCCTATGCTGATATTAAAAGGATAACAAATCAATTCAAGGACAAGTTGGGGCAAGGGGCCTATGGAACAGTTTTTAAAGGGAAGCTTTCCTCTGAATTGCTTGTTGCTGTGAAAATCCTCAACAATTCAAATGAAAATAATGGAGAAGATTTTACTTGTTGACACCGTAACTAACCGAGCAACTAGCTAAGCAAGATTAGCCACATGCCATGCTTAGAGAGATCATCACCTTCGCCAAAGAAGCCTTGCCACATGTCACCACTAGGGGCAATGTCAAGAGTCCCACATTGGAAGACTACAAGAGGTGGAGACTCCCCCTCACCTATAAAAGAAGACTGCTCTCCTCTTAGAAAGGGATCCTATCGGATCCGATGCTATCCTATCCTAGGTTGGGCTCTCTCTTCATGACTCTCCTGCTAACCTGGCCTTCGGGTCCTAGGTCTTCGGACCCGGGGACTTGACCCCTGGGCTTTAGATTCCTAGCTTTGTACCTTAGGCCCTAGGCCTTCTTCCATTTATCTTTGGGTCTAACCCAAAGCTTTTACAAATGTAAACATTATCATAATGAGAACATCTTCTCCGTGGACGTAGCCCATTCATTAAGGGTGAACCACGTATATCTTGTTTTTCGTATATTTATCGCTTGGCCAAGTCCTCACATACATGCTGAAGGTCCTCACCTTCACCCATCATCCATCACACCTCATCACTAAGTTGGACTCAATCTTGGCCAAACTATTTTGAGCATCAACAGTTTGGCGCCGTCTGTGGGGAACCGACACAAAAAGCCTTCGTCATTCTCCCTTCATTCAGTGCCCTTCGGCACCCTTCCAATCATCACCCTTTGAGCTTATCGTTTAGCACCTTATGTGCCGAAGCCACCATGAGATCTCAAGGCACCAATATGCCGAAGACATGTACTTGCTGACGCAACTCACCTTTCAGTCACTTTGAGGAGTTTCAACTTGAAGGTTGCCAGATATTCCAATTCACCAAGAATGTCACTTTGCATGGCTTGCATGGCTTCCAAGAGATAAGTGCAATATTTCTTATCTTCCTATTATTATTTAATTCTTAGGAGGTGCATATTTTGTTATAATATTGACATACCCACATGACTTCTACATATATGGGTCGGCACCATGCTCTCCAAAGGATAAAATTCCTTTTCCTACATATAAATATTGTATACAAGCATGCAATATTCAAATAATTCCATACACAATCTTATCCAACAGTATGAATATTAATGTATACTAATAACAGAAGCTTGTGCTATGCTCCAGAACCATACGGTCAATTGGTGGACCAATATGGTCATTAATATGCATGTGGGCAGAAGACCCAATTGGAGCCCAACATGCCGATGCACACAAGGATGCCACCACGCCATCTGAAGCCAAAATATGCAAGTGTCGTACAGTACTTCATCCTCCAAACCAATCAATTGGCCAAACCAAACAGCAACCATGTGCTCACACTGCATTTCTCCAGAAAAAGATAGACAAACAATGAAAATTGCTCAAGACACCCACGTGGTCATAAGGCACATGCACTTGAAAAATGGGGTGACATTAAAACATTGCTTCAGCATTGAAACAGAGGATGTCTGCAGAAATCTCTTATGGCATTCTGCGTCATGCGCCCCTCAAATGCTAGTGGAAACCAAAGCTGCCGTTCGGCACCACAGACTGAGAAATTACTCAAGTCACCTTAGACACCTCATCATCAATGCTGTTTACACCCTAAATAAACAGCCAATAAGAGCAAGACACGTGGAGGGAATTGGGCTTGGTCAGGGGCGCCCTCGGCACTCTATCTACCGATCTCTCCATTAGGGCAACGCCCTCTCCTGGGACACGTGGCACGCTCCCAAGCGACGTCCACAATCCCACATCGGAATTATCAACAAAATGCACACTCCCCAAGGCCTATAAAAGGCGGCCAACTATCCCAAAATAGAGGTAATCAGAACTTACGGCATACAAGCCTATTGATCTGTCAGTTAAACTTTCTATTACCGAACTTACTTAAGCATCGGAGAGCCTTCGGCAGGTACCACACCGGTGCCCTAGGTCTTACTGAGTGTATTCTCTTTTACAGATCATGCTCCCTACCGAGGCCTTTAAGATACCAAAGCCATTAAATTACTAAGTTGACCCTAAAAGTCAGAGAACTACTTTTTGGCGTCAACAGTTTGGCGCCTTCTGTGGGAAACGATTAAACAAATCGACCCTTTGTCCCGAACATATGGGGACCACTGAAAAAACTACGTTCGTACCGCGGGAGGGGATGCCGTTCGGTATGCCAAGCGGGGTTAGTCCAGCACCACCCCCATATACCCCGGCAACTAATCCACCAGCACTCCAACCCGCCGAAAACACGGAGCTTTTGGCCCAAGTCGTGTCCCTTCGGCAGGACATGGCTAGGTTACAGGAACACAACAATTTCCTCTCGTCCAGGGTGGACGAAACACAGCAATTGGTGAACCAGCAACAAACGCAAAACATTCAGACCGATCGATTGTCCGAACGCTTACAGACTCCTCGTCGGCAGAGGAAGGGCAAGAAGGCGGCAAAGGCAACGCCTGCGCCGTTTAAACAATTGGTAGTCCCAGCACCAAAGAACAAGCCCCACGTGCCGAAGAAGGTCTATTCCGATTGTCGTCATAGGTGTTGCGTAGATTTAGCTCCACCAAAATGGATTAAGCTGCATCCTCAACCTGTGATACTCGTAAGTGCACGAACCGTTGGTAGTATAGCATATGTAAGTGCGAGGTCGATTCCACAGGGATTGGTGATTGAATGATCCAATTTAGTTTCCCTACACAAAATAGAAACAAAAACAAAGAACATAAAACAAGGAAGAAAGAAATAAGTAACTCAAGCAAATAAGTTCCCAAGTTCAATTAGATTAACGGATTGATTCTAGCTAAAGTATGATTAAGCCATGGTGTGTGGTCATAACCTTGTGTTCCTAATTCCCTAATTTGATCATTTGTTGTCTAACCTAAAATTAAGCATTAGGAACCCATTAAACATAGAAGAACAATTTAAACAACCAAGCATGTATCTAATCCCTGTTGTCGAATGTCCATACATACTCTTCCTATTCATAGTTCAATTCGAATTAAAGCATGGTGTATACTCTTAATTCAAACCAAGATAGCTAACACGCAAGCCTAAATGGTGATCAATCATTCAAACTAACATATTAACTTATAAGCATAATGAATAAGAACAAAAACCATAATTGAAACTTGGAAACTAATCAAACTTGAAAACTTAAGAAAAGACTTTACATTACAAAGAAAAATAAATTACAACTAAGAAGAAAAAGGAAAGCTAGAATTGAGAACTAGAAAGCAAAACTAAGAAAATTTGAGGGAGAGAAGGGAAGGGAGCTCTAGAGAAGAGTTTGAGAGCTCCCCCCCTTGGGGTGTGTTTACAAGCATAGAGAACCTCCCTATTTATAGGCCTAAGGAAGTGAAAAATCGGAATTCAATATGGCTAATGCATACAACACTTATTTTATAAAATCTGAAATGGTTGATGCACTTCACTAATAAAGCCCACCAGCAGCCCTAGCTCATCTTCATGTCACCAGGACCAAGCTTCCAACCAGAAATAATAGCTCATCCTGAGGTCAGCATGACCAGCAACTTCAAGGGCTTACGAATTGGGCTTCCCTTAA